GTTCCCCCGGAGGAGCTGGAAGAAGTAGCTGGGGAGAGGGAGGTCTGGGCCTCCCTTCTGAAGCTGCTGCCCCCGCGACCCGACCCCGGATAGGTGGAAGAAAATGGATGGATGATGGATGGATGGATGATGGATGAATGGTTGCTTTAAAAATTCTGTTTGCTTGTTTGTTTGTTTGTTTGTTTGTTTGTTTGTTCAGTGCTCAGGTACGAGGTTTGTAGTGACTTGGTGTTAGATTATAAATAAACTAAATTGAACTGAACACTTTGTCCACACTGGGCTAAAGACAGTTGGACAGTTGGTTTTAAGTGAAGGACCTCTGACATGAAATGCTGCTTGGTTCTCTGAGCTGTAACGGCAGCAACACATTTCTCAGTCTGGATGTCTCTGCAGTAAATGTTCTAACAGGCACACTGGACCAGTGTGGCAGCTCAAGTGGAACCAACAAGAGTTGAGCTTCACAGGAGTGGCAAAGTCAGAGTCTCTTTTCTCCGTGGGTGAAGACGGCAGATTCCGCCAGTGGTCCGTCGTCAGAGGTGGTCTTGATTGTGAAGGTACTGTTTGTGTTACATTTACTGAAGAAGCTGAAACCGGACTGATTAAAGCTAAACAATGCTAATTAAAAGCTAAAAATAGAAAAATAATAGCTAAAAAGATCAAACTAGCTAATGTTAGCAATGACATAAAAAGGTCTGCCGCTGTTTGAGTTGTTAGAACGACACCAGATCTAATTATTAAACAGTATTATGTATCTGATGTCAGCAGCTGGAGGTTGAATCTGTTCCTTACAGACAGCTTTTTCAGATGTTATTACAAGATTGTAATATCTGTTATTACTGTTTAATTTGCGCCAATAATTTTGTTGCAACTAAAACATTTGCTGTAACTGATGAGGACAGATTAATGCGTTGTTATGGCAATATTTATTTAACAAAGACAGAAATATGTGGTCCAAGAATGAAGGTACTCCGTGAGATGATCAGCTGAGTTTTATTGTAACAACAGGGAACACAGAGAACCTGGCCTGTCTCTGTGCCTCTGCTTCTCTCTGTCACTGTCTCTCCACACTACTCACTGTGTCTCGAGAGGCCTCATATATATATTAACAAACACCATTCTGACATCTTAGCAAGATTTGATACAAGGTCAATGGAAAACACAAATATAAACACAAGTGATATCTAAGAATGACTGTTGTTAGCAAATCTTGTTCTGACTTTAATCATTCTATCTGCAGATGAACAGCATGTCATGAAAACCTACAGTAGGTCATTAAAGGATGTCATGAATTACTTGCTTAAACATAAAAGTATTAGTTCCATTACATCTCCCCCATCTGATCATTAAATCACCAATTAAATGATCAATAAAACAAAAAAACACTTTAATGTATTAAAAAATGATGTCAACATAAACCTAAGTATATGTACTTTTCTAAAATCTCAACCCCAGTATTTCAATTTTTATTCCTCCCACAGTAATTACTAACCACAAAACATAGTTATCACACAAAAGTCTTTGGATCGTCTTGAACACAAACAGGCTCGTCTGTTTTGATGTGTGGCTGTCAATCTAACACCATGACATGTCTCCTTGAAACATTCATTAATATTCAGTCATAATTGCTGCAGAGCTGCTGAAGCTCAGGAGGAGGGATACAATACAGAGGATGCCTGCTCTGTGTTTTGACTTTCATCCCACCGTGAGTTGTTACAGAAATTCATTCAATGCTTTCCACTGAAGCAGCTGCAGTTCTGCAGATTCATATCCCAGTTTAATGTCCAGCCTAAAGCAGCCTTCTCCCCTGTGTAACACGTGTTTCTGCAGGACTCCAACATCTATGTGATGTCTACATGGGAAGGTCACATGCACAAGCGCTCCTGCTCCAACAATCAGCAGGTTTTAGCAACTTACAAGAAACACTTTGTAAGTCTGACACGGTTCAGATATCATTAATAAGCTACTGGACAGCTTTTAATGGAGCTTTCACAAACTTATTGTCACATCTGATCAACCTCAGCCAATACAAAAGTAGCTACAAATCACTTTTACAGATATTGAGCTAAAGTTTATTGTGCTAGTAGCTGACAGTCATCCTCAGCTTCTACTCTGAGTGCTAACACATCCTGTGAGATCTGACCTGATCCAATCAGTTTTCTTTTACAGTTTGATAGAATCCATCTACATGTAAAAAACATGTTAATATTCTAAAACTGCTGCTGTAACTCTGTCTTTTCTCAACATTTGATGATCTGAGGTTGATCAACTCTTTTCCTTTAAACAGATAAACGTGAAGTTTAAACTTTATTTTCTCAGCTTTAAAGTCAAAACATGACTGAACTCAGCAATAAGTCTGCTCTGTTTGAAATAAATCTTTTGCAGGAGAGTGAGGAATGCTGCCCAACTCCAACACCACTATTATAGTCCCAAGTGCTCTGAAGGGCTGATCACTGTCATTCAACACAATGGTTACAGGTTGTTTAGGGTTTTTATTTTTATTTTATATTTTTTGCATTCTGGCCTCACAAGTGTTAAAAACCTTTTAACAAAAAACAGTCATGGAAACACCTGAGCATGAAACTGTTATCTGGGCTGGATGAATGGATCTCAGGCATTATGTCACACACGTATGAAAGTGAAGAGCTGTTTCTAAAGTCGTGACCGAAACAGCTTGAAATCACAGAATCATTGTTTTGAACCTGTTTGTTACTTTTCAACACTGGCCACAGAACAGGTCTTTATTTATTATTTCTTTTGCTGGATCTGTAAAATAAAAAATTGTTGGGTGTTGGACTTTAAAATGCTGTTACAAAATCGATTTCGAATAGCAGGGATGTCTTTGGTGTTAATTTCATCAACAGAACCTGAATCATTGCTGAAATCTCTGGTCTCTAAAGGGAGGACTATTAGGAGACATTGCTTGGCTTTTGTCTGAATAAAAATGGCAGCAAAAGTAAGAATTTTTTGTGTTCGTTCAGTTTACATCTTAGTAAAAAAAAATCTATCTTTAGAAAGTTTAAATGTTGCTACATTTGTCAGAAAAATTCATTTGTGGGTTGGGCAGCTCCTCTGTGACCCAGCATGAACAGGCTGGTTTAAAAAATGGATGTACAGACGGATGGAGTTGATTAAAACTTGTTAATTTTTTCTCAGCCAATGTCAAACTGCTTATTGACTGAATCTTGTTGTTTGTTGGACTGGATGATTGAAGTCTGAAGAAACAAGACTTATTATCTGCAGTTAACAAACTGAGGCCTCAGTAGCATGTGGAAGAACCATACACAGCCACAACAGTGTTGTGCAATATGTAGTGCTCAAAGTATTTGTTGTGAATTACTCTCAGTTACTACCACACGTGGCTGAGTTCTATTAGTTTTTGTGTTGGCTGAGGTGGATTAGCTGCCATCTTGAATAAGAGTGACTCCAAATGTTTATACATGTAAATCCAATCCTTACTGTGAGAGTTTCATTAAAATCTGTCCAGTGGTTTATGGGATATTTTGCTAACACACGGGGTTGATGTCAATAGTAACTGCCGAAGTTTTGCAGAAAAATACTTTATAATTTGTAGTGTTTGTAGAACATTGAGGACGATGCTCATCTTTCACCAGTCCAAATTTGAGCTCATTTTAGCCAGTTTTTGTGTTTGCTAAGACTGTTCAGCTGTAGCGGCCATCTTGAATGGAGTTGACAATAACTTGGATGAATAATTTTTCCTTTACTTTTTCATTGATCTAATTGTTATTTCAGAATAAATTTGTTTCTCCTACATTAAACTGCAGGCTGACGTCTGAGCATTCGCAGATGAGTCATGTTGAAGTTTTGTTTTACCTCAGAGTCCTGTGAACTGCATCTCATGGTGTCCACTCAACCCTGATGTGTTCTTGAGCTGTTCCTCTGACTGGACCATCCAGCTGTGGAACCAGGACAGCCCGGACCCTGTGTTAGGATTCAGCTCCACCCACAGGGCTGTAAACGACATCAAATGTTCCCCAAAGTGGGCCTCTGTATTTGGAGCTCTTACTGAAGAACAACTTGAGATCTGGGACCTGAATGCAAGCAGGTAAGTCAGGTTGATCAAACCTGCTGTTTTTGTTCTGTTTGATTTCTTATCATTTAAACTTGTTTCCCTCAGTCAGGTGCCAGTCATTGTGCAGCCCTCTGCTCCAGGAGTGAAGATGACGTCCCTGCTGTTTGCGTCACACATAAACTGCATTGTGGTAGGAGACACCTGTGGACAGGTGACCGTCTACCAGCTCAAACACCTTGGAGGCAAAGGAATCGAACAGGTGAAACAAAGCAACAAGTTGAGAGGCTGACAACTGCAGGGACTAATTTAACTTTATTTAACTTATTACCACTGTGTTAGTTTATGTAGGAACAGACCCAACATGAAACTAAATGAAAAGCTATGTTGGATCACACTGCTAGAAATTAGACCCATTACGGACGATTTTGTTCTCAGGGAAACACCATCAATCAGCAGACTGATACCAGAGCTCCGTTGAGTGTCGGCCTGGTCTCACCAGACCTGAGCCACGGGACTCTGGCTGATGAAGGTCCACAATGTGCTGCAACAGCTTCTGATCCTTGACTTTCAACCTACTGACCCCTGGAACCC